CTGGGAAGTGAGGTTATATTGTTGTGTGGAGACCTTAGAGCAGCCTGTCATTGTCCTCCAGGTCATGGGGCAAAGAGCTTTGCTGCTCAGTGCTCCCCAGAAGTTTCTCATCCTTAGCAGACATACTGAGTGCAGAGCCGCGTCGGCTCAGAGGATGATTGACCTGGAAGTGTGTTTTGGATGAACCTCTCCAGTTGCCCTTTGTCTTTTTGCATAGGACCGTGGAAACAACAACAGCGTGATGAGTAACTACGAGGCGTACAAGCCATCCACTGGGGCAATGGGAGACAGGCTTACGGCAATGAAAGCAGCTTTTCAGGTAGGTTCCGGCACTTGTACTCCAAGTTCAAACTGAAGAGGATAGGACATATCATGGAAAAACTTTACTAATGATTCAAGGCAACCACATTGTTTCTCCCCTGTAAATGCAGAAACCCTGTTGGTTTCAGGGCAGTTGAGTTTGGCAGTTGTAGCTGCGGCCACGTCTCCTCTGCTTGGAGTACGTGCTCAGCATTGCAGTCCAAAGTAGCAGAATGAGTCTGCAGGTGGGGCTGAACACATCTGCACAAGGTTAATTTGCCAAACTTTGTTATCAGCAGCCTCTTTGCTGTCTTCCCCTTGTGGATCCTGCTCCTAGGCTTGAGCCTGTTTAGACTGCTTAGCAGCAATAGTGTAATTGCAGTCAAAAGGAATGGGGAACAGAGAAACTCTCTTCAGTGTGAAAATGAACCCCAAAACATAGCAGTCCCCTTGTTTCTGTGGTTTGGTAGCAGATGCCTGTTAGTAATTCTGTGTTTTTAAGCACAGCAGGAGTGTAATCACTCCAAGACTGACTCTTTATAGGAACTCTTTCCTAGGAGTTCCCCAGAATTCAAGATGGGCTTGTGTGTGCATGACGACTGTGTGGTTTGTGCTGCAGTACCAAGGCAAACATGCTCTCTTGTTTCTTTCTCCCTGCCTCTTTCTGTCAGTCCCAGTACAAGAGCCACTTTGTTGCTGCAAGCTTAAACAATCAAAAGACTGGTAGCTCTGCTGCTGGGGCAAGTGGCTGGACCAGCGCCGGGAGCTTGAACTCGGTACCGACGAGTTCAGCCCAGCAAAACACTGCAAGCCCTGAGAGCCCACTTGCAGCCACCGCAGCAGCAAAGGGTGTGCCAGGCTTCACCAGCACGGGGAGTTTGAGTAGCGTTCCCACCTTCCCAAGCGTCGGGGGACAGGGCTTCAACAACACAAGTGCCAGCACCAACAGTCGAGAGAGCGGTGGCGGCGGTACCGGTGTTGCCACCACTGGTGGTGGTGGTGGCGGTGGCGGCGGCGGCGTGGTCAGGGAACGGTACAACGACAGCCGGCCCGGTCGGCACAACGAAGCCCCGCGCCGTGGAGAGGGGGGTGGTCGCTACAACGACGTGCAGCGCCACGGGGAAGGAGCCGGTCGCCACAGTGACGTTTACCGCCATGGAGAGAGCCGCCACGGCGACAACCATCGCCACGGGGAGAGCCGGCACTTCACTGATGTGGGTGCCGGGAACCGCAATAACGGTGACAGCAGGAACAGCAGCGAGGGGAGGAACAACGAGAACAGGAATGGTGACAACAGGAAGGAGGCCGCCAACCGAGACAACAAAACAGATGGGTTTGCTGTCCCAGAGCCCCCAAAGCGGAAGAAGAGCCGGTGGGACAGTTAAAAGCTGGTGTTGCCCCAGCCTGGGGTCCCTGCAGGTGGTGTTGCCTTTTGCCAGAGGATTTTGGGGGGGGGTTTGGTAAATGGTGGTTGAGATGCTGGGGGAGGAGAAGGAAACCATACGAACTACACCCCCCGTGCAAGTCTGGGCCGGTACATCTGCAAACAGCTTCTCTCTAATGATGTGTACACACAATGCTTTAGTGCAAGAGAAATCATTTTGGTAAAGCTCCCTGGGTTCTGCTTTAAACATTCAGTGCTCAAGTGACTGCTGGAGTTAAACAGATCTTGCCAAGAAAGAAGCTGTTTCATGGCCTTGGAACATTAAGAAACTGTTGTCCCTACAAGTATAAAGTAGTCCTTTTCTTAACCAGCATTCACACTTAAAAAGTAACAGCTAGAGATGCTCAGGACCCACCTGGTAAACAGTGCTCTCTCAGCAGTGTGTTCAGTGTGGTAAGTTCTTCCCCAGCCTCTTGTTTTCCCATATTATCCCTACATAATTTGGCCTCCAGGTTGCCCCTTACATCCCATCACGTAAGGATCCATCAATTTGCATTGCTGAAGGTGGGATGAAGCTGATTTTCCTTGTTTTTTGGTTTTTTAAGAAGCTGTTCAAAGGCTTCTTCTCCAGCCCAGCAAATCCCAAATTCACCTCTAGTGCAGGCTGGACTCCCTTGGCTTGGCTGTGGTCAGTACATCAATCCCAACCCCATTGCCCAGGTCTTTCATTCTTCTAAAGAACCTCTTCTCTCCTGCAACCCTTCACGTTGATGGAAGCCTGCATAGCAAACTTGGCTCTCTGCTGTGCCTGTGCACCCTCTGTTATGAGAGGGTTGAGTGCTTTCTTCAAATTAAAGACAAAAAAGGGAATCCAATACAGCCACACTACTCCAAGGCTGGTGCCCCCCATGCAGTATAGCTCAGTGAAGAGGCTTCCCTCAGTAATTCAGGGACCTGCTGCTCTCAGAAGCCTTCAGGGAGAACCTGAGAAGCGATTGATGAAGTGGAACAGCTCGGCTCTCGCCCCATATTGGACACATGTAGTTAAAACTGTAAAATCCTGCTTGACAGTTTTTAACTCCTTGTGTGTATTATCCCTTTTTTAACTCTTTGTTGGCACCATAAAGGTAAGGCAGGAAATCTTTTGTTGAAACATGGCAGCACCCACCCCTGTCTTGTTTCTACTGAAAGAAGGGTTGGAATCTGTCAGGTTTTGGTGACATTGTGATGTTTTCTTTATCAGCTGTGCATTTACTTTCTGCTTGCTCTAGTAAATGTTTTATTACTGGTTCAAAGCTATTGAGCACCTGCTTTTTATTCTCCTCTGGCTATAATGGTGTTTGGGTGGTGTCTGGTGTCTGCATCTCCATCCACTCTGTCCCTTTCTTTCACCAGAATTGATGGATTGTGGTTGATAAAAGAATTCCTGTGGGGGGTTTTGCAGTATCTTTGACCCCAGACTTTTGCCAACCCTATTTTAGCTTCAAAGCCTGCTGGGGAAGAGATTTTTCCCCTTCATTTTACAAGTGGGAAGGGCATGGTGCTCATCCCAGCCTTCCCTGGGGCCATTAGAGAACTTGGCAGCAGTTTTGTGATGTGACCTGCATGTGTACTACTTCATTTGGGCCCCTTCACTGGTTCTAATCTGTTGGGGTTGTTTGAAACAGCTTCCACTTGAATTCTCTTATTATGGTCTGGGCAGAAACCTCATTGCACTGGTTTGAGCTCTGCATATTCAGTATTAAGACAAGTGTGTTCCAGGGCAGATGTAGCAGGGGTTTAGATGCTGTTGCATCCATGCAATCCCAGAGTGGTTTGAGTTGGAAGGGACCTTCCAAGAAAAGAACTTCTGCCTAAGAGCTCATCTCAGTCTCCCCTCGGGCAGGTTCAAGCCATTCCCCTTGGCCTGTCCCTACAGGCCCTTGTGCAAAGCCCCTCTCCACGTTTCTAGGCCATTCCCCTTCCTTTCTCACACTTGAGGTTTATCACTCTGCACAATTAAAGATCTGAGTTTTAAAACAAGATAGAAACAGCTCCGTAGTTTAAAGCTTCCATCTGCTCCTGCCTTCCTGAATGGCTGCCCATGGGAACGGGCCCTGGACATGGCATGTCCTTGGGTTTCTCCCTTTCTTTTTAACACATCCCTCTGCTCTTCAATAGGATTATTGAAATTCCTCACCCCTTTCTCAGCTGCCAGAGGCCTCCTGAGACTTGGATGAGTAAATACTGATCACTGACCAAGAGCTATAAATGTCAGTTCACAGGTCCCTGCCAGATACATCAGAGGGCTGATTCTGTCTCCACGGCACAAGGTAGCAGTGTGAGCAGCATGCCTGGAAGGAGACCCCCCTGCAGTGCAGGTCGTGCTGCTTGCTTCTAAAGAGACAAGAGCTGAGCAGACAACTGCAGGAAGCTCAGGGTGGGTTTCTGCTTCTGTGGCTGTGCATCAGCCACCCCCTTTTGTCCCCTGCCACCAGCCAGCCCAGCCTCTGCCCCGTTGTAGGTGGTGTGGATGTGCCTGACTGGGCCCTGGAGCCCTTCCCTTCCTCCAGAGTTTGCCAATCCTTGTGGCAAACCCTTTGCCTCGTAGCTTTCCACTGGGAGATGTGTGAATGCACAGAAGGATGCACACGTTCACTGCCTTGAGACACTGTCTCTCATTAGAGCAGGTAGGAAAGGAAACCCCGTGCTGCCACCAACACTGTTTAATGTTAACACATACACGTGTCCATTTCCAACAATGGGGAAATCCTCCCCTCCCCTCTGATCCGGTGGAATTAGCTGGGCTGGGCAGTGCAAGCCCCACTGGAATGTCTTTGCCCATCAGGTGAAGAGCTCTTCGGGCAGCACAGTGCAGCAGAGAAGAAGCCAGGATCTGGCTGCTGCCACCATGGATGTGCTTCCAGCCCTTGGCACCCTCCGCTGCCCTCCAGCAACCACCAAGTCCCTGATGGAGTTCAGGGATGGGAGCAGACCACACAGACCATGTCTTCATTCACTTTCAAGACCAGAGGGCTGAGCCTTTCGCATGCAGTAGCCCATGTGTTCATGGATGATGGTGCTGGAAAGCCAAGGGTGGACCCAGCATTGCACTGCGCCCATCCCAGCCCATGCAGCTTGGCCTGGTGACTGAGCCCATTGATCCCAGTGGATGCTGGGATCTGCTGCAGTATCCTCATGCTCCCTGTTCCTGCTTTACCACGGCTGCGAGCTGCACAAGGATGCAGTTAAGGGCAGGATGAGCTGCAGAACAGCTCTACACAGCGCCAGGCTGTGCGATGTAGGTGTTACACTGGGGAGTCAGACTATGGGCTCGTTGAATCGGCTTTATACACACTGGAGCTGAAGTCACCTTCTGGACCGTTGAGGTGTTTCCTGGGGATGATTCAAGGCTTTGCATGCACAGACATCACGTACATCAGTCACTGGTGTGTGGAAGGAAATGAGGTTCTGAACCAGCTGCTCCTTTACAGGCCAGGTAGGTAGAGCCACATGGTGCCTTTGCACACTGCCTGTGAGGGAAGGGAACTGGATTGTTCCCTATCTCAGCTCTCCATGCAAGCATAAAAGTGTGAGGATCAGCATCTTCCCAGTCACAGCTGGATGCCCAGATGGGAAACCCTCCGTCCGCTTCACAGCATCGTCTCCAGCATTTTGGTGAGGTTGGGGTGACCCTGATCCAGGTCTGTTGGATCCCCTGTGGTTCCCCCCCCAGGTCTCTGGCTCATCTCCTGGGTCGCACAGGGCACAAAGTTATCGGAGGCGAAGGAGCTGGGGATACAGCCCGGGAGGCTGGCCCGGGCTGGCAGCAGCAACCCCCGCTGCTGGGTGCTCCCTGCTCCTCGCCCCACCAGGCTGGTGCTGAAGCTGGTGGTGGGGTGGGAGCTCAGCCCCCCATAGCAGTAGCTCCCCACTGCGCTGGTGGCACGAGCCTTCTGCTTGAAGTCCAGCGCCAAGCTCCTCCGGAAATGGGCTTTCTTGATCTCTGCCTGCACCTGAGGGAGAGATCAGAGGTGGCTGCTGGTGTCTGTTCCTTCCCCAAGGAATTCCCCCCCTTCCAAATCCCACCCTGGTTTGGGTTGGAAGGGACCTTAAAGCTCATGCAGCTCCAACCCCCTGCCACGGGCAGGGACCCCTTCCACTGGAGCACACTGCTCCGTTAGGGAGCCTAAAATCAAATCCTACTGAGAGGGATGGATCCAAGCTTTTTCCCAGCCTGGGGGTTCCAGGTTGACTTCCCCAGCCCCAAAGAGGCTGCGCCAGGGAGCTCACGCTTCCAACTTACCTCCCCGTTGCAAAAGCAGTAGATAAAAGCCACAAAGAAACCCTGCCAAAAGAGACAGAGGTGAGGTTTGAGCTGGGCCACCCCACGTGTGCCTCCCCGCTCCTGGGATGAGCATTGCTGGGTGTTCGGAATACCTGAGAGGAGTTAAAGAGCATCTCGTAATGCATCTGGATCTGCCACAGGACCCCGGAGACTTCGGTGTAGGGCATGGCCATGAACACCATGTAATGGACCCCGAAAAGGGGCATCAGCACCAGCGTGGACTTGAGCAGCTTCCTGAGAGGAGAAATGCTCCCAGAATCAGCCTGAGAGGCAGCGGCGGAGCCGCACCGGGGCAGGGGCTGTGGTTCCAGCCCTCACCTGTACTGCTGCCGGGGGTCCAGCTTCCCCGCGTGCGTCTCCCAGAGCTTGGAGGCCAGAACCCGGACGATGTTGAGGAAGAGGAAGAAGTTCACCTGCCAACAGGCCCCCACTGTGCTTCTATTGCCCACAGCCAGCGTGGGCCTGCCCCAGCAGCCCCCCGGCACGAGGAGAGGCAGCTGTGGGTGAGCGGAGGCGATGCTGTGGGCAGGGAGCGGCGTTCCTGCATCCCTCTGCGTCGCCGCGTGCCGGAGGGGCTGCAGGCACAACCTCAGGGACCACAAGCGAACAGCTCTGGGCCTCTATCCAGCCCCTACCCCAAAAGGGATTGGGGGATTCAGCCATGGGATTCTTACCACAATGGCGGCCAAGATGGGGACCTGATAAATCCACTTCATGTTCCCTGCGCTGAGATCCCAGCACCTGGAGACACCCAGAAAGAAACATCCTGGAGGAACCTGGCCGGGAACATTGCCAGCTGATGGCTCTCTTTACCCCATAACCAACATCCCCATCCTCCCTTCACTCCCTTTGTGTAAGTCTTGACCCAACAGCAGCCACGCTACAACCATTGTTTCTCTGGGTCCCTGTCAGTTTGATGGACAAGCCTCACGGTGTGCTCACTCCTCTCGCTCTTCCTGCTCGGTTCATTCTGCTGGCATTTGCCACCAGCCTTCCCCTCCCCAAAGGGCTGTTGGAGGTGGACCCACGTACTGTGTATCAGCCAGGGAGGCCCTGACGCTGGCCCAGATGGACACAAACACAGCAGGGAGACCTGGAGGGGCAGGAAGCACGGTGAGGAGCAGGGATGAAGCATCACCTTTGCAGACCAGCACAGGTCTGGTCTGCATCCCACTGCCCTGCCTTGGGCGTCCTGTGCCACTGTGATGCCACAGCTCCCAGCTGCTCTCAGCTCTGGGGTCCGTGCTTACCCCAGCCAATGATGATGAGGACCCACAGGTAGCTCTTGTTGGAGAGGAAGGCCATGAAGATCAGGCTATGCAGGTAGAGCCCTTCCACTAGGATCCAGTAGTGGTTGGTGGCCAGAAAATAGAGGAAGAGAGTCACCGCCACCTTGCAGCCCACCTGTGGACACGGAGGCAGGGAAGTGCCCATATCAGGCTGTGCCCTGAAAGCAAAACCTGACCAGCAAGCCCCAGGCTGTGCCCATCTCCCCTGGGCTGTTCCAGCGCCGTGGCTCTACATCTCCCATAGGAAAGGTGCTTCCCATACCAGGCCACACTGAAGTCCTTTGCCTGCTGTGGCACCAGGGTGGGCAGAGCTGCAGGTTGCCCTTCATCCCTCCCCTGAGCAGCGCAGCCCCGAGCTGGGAGCATCCACCCACATCCCCTTGCACCTTCCATCCCCTTTCCCCCTGATCCTGCCTCCACACTTGCCAGGTGGCTCCAGTGTCCTGGGGAAGGACCCATTTCTGCCCTGAAGTCCTCCTCCCGCATCTTCTCCATCTCCGTGCCCACGGTGCCCGAGTAGAGCACCGTGTCCTTCACGAAGATGCTCACCGCCCGGCAGATGAAGGAGGCGAAGAGGTGGACGTGGATGTAGTTGCGTGTGCAGTGCAGGCGCCTATGGAGAAGGGATGTGACACGAGCCCAGCCCCAGCTGCCCAACGAGCTCATTGCATGGGGGACATGGTGAGCTCCAAGGTGTCAACCCTCCCACGGGCACAGAAAACAGACCTGGAGGCGAGTGGGGCATCCACAGCCTCAATAGCAGGGTGGAACTGGTCATACTGGGGGTGCTTTGGGCTGGGGTTTGGGGCCGGTTCCTGTTCCCATCAGAGGGTTGTGTGTGCAGAGAGGAGGGTTCTCGGGAGAGGAGGGCTCTCTCTCATGGGGATGAGATTTTGGCTTCTCCTTACTTGAAGTACGACAGGATGCAGACTGCAACAGTGAGGGAGGCCAGGGAGATGGAGTAGCCGATGGTGTACATCAGGTGCAGGCGGTCAAACACCTCCTGGAATCACAGAGCCATGGAATGGTTTGGGGTGGAAGGGACCTTAAAGCTCACCCCGTTCCACGCGCAGGGACACCTCACACCAGAGCAGCCTGCTCCACGCCCCATCCAAGCTGGCCTTGAACTCTCCCAAGCCCTATTCCCAGGGAGCGAAGTCACCTTCTCACGGCTCCGGCTCTCGGAGGAGAAGAGCAGAGCGCACTCGGTGTAGTTGGCCCAGGTCTTGTTGATGCTGAGAGCCATGGCCCAGGTCCCCGAGGAGCTGCAGTACCGGTAGGCATGACCTGGGAAGGGCGATGGGCGCTGCGGCGGCAGACGGACCCGAGGGAAGCACATCCCTGCTGGTGGGGGGGTGCTGAGGGGCTCTCCCTGCTCGGGTCCAAGCTCTTACCTTGATGGTTGAAGTCGTAGATGTAGTCGGGGCAGGGCACCGACACCTCCTGGCTGGGGGAGCCCTTTGGCCAGCAGATGATCCCATCCCACTCTGGAAGGCAGCTGGTGTCTGGTCAAAGAGCAAGGAGGCAGCTCCCACCTCCGAACAGGGACCCAGCATCCTCCAGCTCCCCCAAGGGAAACGCGCTGCAAGCATCGCCCCGGCCTGCAGGGCTTGGAGCAAGCTGCTCTATGGAAAGGGTCCCTGCCCACGGCAGGGGTCGGAGCTGGGTGAGCTTTAAGGTCCCTTCCAACCCAAACCAGGCTGGGATTGTGTGAGCAGCACCCAATCGCACCCAGGCTGCCAGGATCTCCCCAAACCCTCAAGCTCCATGCTCTCCCGTCCGAGGGAACAGCATTGCCCACGGTGTGTGCTGGGGCCTGCTGACCCACGCGCAGGGATGGGCACTACCTTGGATCATCTCCAGCTGGGCTTTTATGTCCCTCTGACACCTCTCCTTGGCTTCCACCAGCAGGTAGATCTGCTCTTCCTTCGTGAGAACATCGTCGGGGTCCACCTGCCAGGACAAGGCTGATGTGATGCCACCTCCAGCAGCCTGGCAGGGGGCTCCAGGGATGCTCCAGGAACCTCCTGGCACGGGGCTGGTGCTCTGCTGGCCTTTGCTGCTCTCAGCCACTGACTCACAGCATGGAGCAGGACCAACCTCGGGGTTAGAAGTGAGGCAAAGGCAGGCAGGGAAGCCAGGACACATGGAACATGAATGTGCTGGCAGGCAAAGCTGATGGATGCTCTCCCAACCCTCGCGTGTTTGTGTGGCTTTGAGTAGGCTCAAACACGATGGTGGGGAAGAGAAAAGCCTCCTGCTCTTGTTCTTCCCTCTTGCAAGGCTGAAGCTGACCATGAGCCCCGTCACCCTGTCCATGGTCCACTGAGAAACACATGGACATGGGTGGTGTGGGGCTTCTTGCCCACCCCACCGGTGGGGCTGGATGTCCCCATTGCCCACACAGGGCTGCAGCTTTGGAAGCACAGAGGAGTCAGGATGCAGGGGGTTCACGTTGGCTGCTGGACTGCCCATGGCCAAATCCTGCCCCACAGAGGAGACCCTGAGGTCCCATCCATGCTCTTCAAGGCAGCGTCTGTTGCTGGTGGGGGGCACGGAGCAGGACTGGGGGTCCTGGGGGTCCATCAGCAAGAGCTGACTATAAATCACCACCCCCCCCCCCCCCCTTCTGTTCCCCCAGTGCCTCTGAGGCAGCGAACCCGGCCCTGGATGCATCCAAGCAATGGGAAAATGACCCCGTTGTGGTGTCTCCATGGCTGTGGAAGCTTTAGCAGGAGCAGAGATGCTCTCCCTCCCCTCCTGCCCAGCAGCTCTGTGGGGTGGGATGTGCAGCTGGGGCGGGATGCACAGTCAGCAGGGGTTCAAGCCAGGAGAGGACCAGAGGAGCCCATAGGACCATGCAGACTTACCAGAGCCCGCGCAGAGCTGAGCAGACAGCAGCAGAGGAGAAGTGCTGTGATCCCTCCCTTGGGAATGGACGTCTCCATGGTCCCACCGTGTCACTGGGATGGACCTCAGGGATGCTGAGCTGCAGAAGCGCTGCCAGCCCCAGGCTGTGGGGCAGCAGGACAGAGCATCTTCTGGGGCACCTTCCCCACTGCTGCCCCCGTGGGGTCCTGGCAGTGCTATAGGGATCTATCTGCTCACGGGCTCACCAGGTGAAGGGGGTTCTCCCCCCATCATCCTTGCTCCTATTCACTCTCCATCTCCCGCCTGCTTTAAGCAGCTCCCGGAGCATGTGCAAACAATTCCCACTCGGATGGGGATGGCAGAGGTTTATTGGCTCAGCCCTAGGTGCTAAAATCCTCTCCATTCAAGGCAGATTCCTCTTCTCCTTTCAGAAACTCCTCTCGCTGCCTGGTGCTCATTTCTCAGCTGTCACAGCATCCCCCCGCTGCCCCCGAGCAGCTCAGTCCCCTCCTGCCCCACACTGGTCCCAAGGAGCTGGAGGACAGTGGGGAGACCCCCAGCGATGTGGCTGGAGGCAGAGGGGCAGCGGGTGCAAGCACGTGAGCATCACCTCGGCACTGATGCTCCTGGGGTGGGACGTCTTTCAGGCAGATGCCAGCTTAACCCTTTGGCTTCTCTAGGGGTTGGGGTGCGCTTTGGGGTGCTCCCCACCAGGACAAGTACCCTCCTGCCTTTGTGGGTTTGCTTTGCAGAAGGATCTCACTGCACAAGAGCTTTAACCTCCATGGATGAGGCTAAATGGGCACCGCAGGCAGACGGTCAGTCCTGACAGCAGTTCCCACCAGCTCAGAGTTGGTCCCATTGCAGCTGACAACATCCCCATCAGAGCAGTCCCTTGGCACCTGCATCCCCTCAGGAACACCCCAGGGCTGTCCCAGGCCTTTCAGGACCATTCTGATGCCACCCGTGTGGGTGGCTTTTGGGATCATTTAGGGCCACAAGGATGCTCAGGGGCTGGAGCAGCTTCCGTATGGAGCCAGGCTGAGAACACTGGGGCTGTTGAGCCTGGAGAAGAGAAGCTGTGTGGAGACCTCAGAGCAGCTTCCAGTGTCTGAAGGGGGTTACAGGGATGCTGGAGAGGGACTCTTCATCAGGGACTGTGGTGATAGGACAAGGGGTGATGGGCTCTGTGGCGAGGGAAGGTGTTACCAGCTGGATGAGAGAGCAAAGCAAATCCCAATGGCAGCCCCCAGGAGGTGCTGTGCTCCCCCTGGTTAAGTTGAACAGGAGAACAAGCCTCTTGGTGGCTTTCCCTGCCACAGCAGTAAATCAAGGAGGGATTAGTGGCATCCTCGGCAGCTGCCTCTCTCCTCATCCCAGTTTAGCCACTACCATGGACCATTGGTGGATGCTGACACCAGCCCTGCATTGCTCTGCTCATCGAGATGCTGCACGGGCACAAAGGGCGAGAGATGGGAGAAGCATCTGAATTGCAGGATTAATGTAAAGGCTCTTCTGGGTTCTGATTCCTGACCCTGAAGCTGCAGGGAGCAGAGCTGAGGGTAAAGGGAGGTTGCTCTTTACTCGGGATGGGTGGCTGTTGGCTGAGGGGGAGGCAGCAGCACTCAGAGGCAATTTGATTCCCAGAACCTGACCCCGGATCCGAGTTTGCCGTTAGCAAAACATGTTGGGTTTTTCTTGCTAAATGATTTGCTTTATTATGGAGCGCTCGGGAAAGCAATCACTGCAAATGACTCCCATCCAGCCCCGAACCCACGCGAGCAGCCCTCAGGTGATGGCAGACAGCAGTTTGCTGCTGTTTCCTCCCCCTGAAAGACCCCCATGACCCAGCTCGTGATGGCTCGAGCAGTTCCCTTCACTCCCAGCCCTGCAGTAGCTCCAAAAGAGCAGGATTAGACCCAGCCGGTCATGCCAAGCCTGAGCCGCTGCAATGCAACACAACCTGAACCAGCCTGACTCAACCACCTGAAAAGACAAATCCAAATGCATTTTTCTATATCCATCTATAAACTATATTTCAATACGTACATCGATGAAGTGTGTGTATAGATATACGTACAGAATGGCTCAGGCTCCAGCCAGCACCGAGACCTCGCAGCTCTCGCACGGGGCCCAGCAGCATCTCGCAGGATCCTGGTCCACCCAGTGGCTTGTGACGGTCCCTGCAGCGCAATTGAAGCCAGCGCTGGCTGGAGCAATGAGGCTGCAGGTTTGTTTAGATGCCTCAGTGTAACCCTCAAGCCCCATTTCTGGGAATGCTGAACCCCGATGACCTCTTCTGCATCTTCTGCAGGCCTTCAAGCAGTTGGGAGAGGAGGGTGAGAGCAGGAGCATCTCCCACCAGAGCCTGTCCAGTGCCTGGAGAGGAGCTGAAAGGAGATGGTACGGCCCATGCTGCCCTGCAGGTTTTGGGGTGCATGGGATAACACAGCTACAGGTCGGGCAGAGGAGTGATCCGGAGCATCCCTGAGAAGAACTCGGGCTGTTGGTTGATGAGAAACTGAATGTGAGCTGGTAGTGTGCACCTGAGCCCAGAAACCACCCATGTGCGGGGCTGCACCAAAAGGAGCGTGAGCAGCAGACTGGACCTGGATGATCCTAAGGCCCTTTCCAACCCAAACCATTCCATGGTTCTATGGTTCTATGATGAGCAGCGCAGCGCTGTGAAAGGTCCTGAGCTGATGAATTAAGTGCCTGGCTTTACCCTTCGTTTGCATTACCCTCCTTAGCTGTCCCCCGGAGGTGAGCACAGCTCCTCACCCGCACCTATTCCAAGGCACAAGCTCATCCCTGGGGAGCAATGGGGATAAACCAGCCCCTGAGCACGAGGCCAGGGGCTCATGCAGCGAGGACTGAGCTCCTGTGCAGCGGCCCTTCCTAAACCCCAGGGTCACAAAGGGCTCTGCAGCGCTTGCCCTTGAGGCCTGCCTAAAACCAGGCGTGCTTTCCCCATGGGCATCACGGCAGCTCCATCAGCCCCGCGTCGCTGCTTCCCTGCCAGGCACCCGGGGCGGATCGAGTTTAGGCTTTCAGCGCTCATTCAGCCAGCAGCCCCCGTGCAGCCCACCCGGCGCAGGTGCTGGGGGGGCCACGTCCCCGCTGTGGTGGCTGGGGGGTGTCTGGTGGCTTGGCCGTGCCGGGAGCTGATGACAATGGGCAATTGTCAAGTTGGGGCCCCTCTCGTTTGAGTTTTCTTCCTTTTATAGTAAGTAGCAGTTGCTCCAGCAGCTGGCCTGCCCCTGCGGGGTGAGCACGGGGCTTGTATATAAGGGAAGGAGCAGCCTTTGCCTTTCATCCTCGGTTCAGTGGCTTCCCTGGGCAGCAGGACCCATCCCTGCCCCTTCACACAGCCCCAGCACGATGCCAATCAAGAAACCTGACCCCAAGAAGGAAGCGGCCAAAACAGCTCCAGCCCCGGAGCCCCCCCGAGAGCCTGCCTTTGATCCCAAGAGCGTGAAGGTGAGAGAGGGATGGAGACGTCCCCGTCTCCCTTGGTGCCTCTCATCTGCAGGCATGGGCATGGGCATGGGCAGTGCGATGCGCCAGGCTGAGAGCCAGGGCTGGGAGGGCAGGACGAGCACATTGCATTGGAGCAGCGGGCTGGGATGGATGTGTTGATGCAGCGGGCTGGGAGGGATGTGTTGATGCAGCGGGCTGGGAGGGATGCGTTGATGCACAGGGCTGGGAGGGATGTGTTGATGCAGCGGGCTGGGAGGGATGTGTTGCTGCACAGGGCTGGGAGGGATGTGTTGCTGCACAGGGCTGGGAGGGATGTGTTGCTGCACAGGGCTGGGAGGGATGTGTTGCTGCACAGGGCTGGGAGGGATGCTGTCCTGGCTATGGGGATGTTTCAATCTTCCCCCCTGTGTCAGGGTCCCAGCAGCCACCCACTGCCTCCATCCTGAAGCATCTGGCTGCCTGTATTGTCTCCTCCACCTGAAAGCATCTTTTAGCCAAATCAGCACAATGGGAGCTTGGTTTTCCATGATTCCCCAGGTTTTAGTCACGTATTTAAGCCAGAGGTGTGGCAGGGGCGTTATTTAGAGCAGGCTCAGTGCGGAGGGTGTTTAATCACTTGAACTAAGGATCAAGCATCCTGAAAACAGCATCCTTTCCACCTGACTGTGGAGAAGTTCAAATGCAGGGGAGAGCCCTGTCCATAACGTAACACTGATGCCTGGCTCTGTTCTCCCGACAGATTGAGTTCACTGCAGAGCAGATTGAAGGTAAGTGCAGACTTCACCTTTTCCCAGGGATGCCATTAGGAATGGGGAGTCCTTTTCCCAGGTAGCTTTTCACAGCAGACATAAAGGCCAAGGCCCCTCACATCAAACCCCCAGCATCAGGATGGAAAGGAGATGGGGAAGGGAGGAGGCAGCTGATGGAGATGGGAGCAATGCTGGGAGCAGCAAAGGGATTTAGCTAGGGCTGTTGGGAGCAATAAATGGACCCTGGCTCCCTACCCTGCACTGAGGGTGCCCCAGTTGAAGGGGACAGTCCTTGCTTCAGGCAGGGAAAAGGTATTTTTCCATTCATGGTGAGGGATGGAGCCTGGTTCAAAGCCGGATTCGTGTGGGAGGAGCAGCCTCTGGCGATGCAGGGACTGAGCTGGGATTGGGATTCCTCATCTCTTCATGCCTCTGTACAGAGTATGGGAGGGATGAGATGTGAGGGCAGATCCTGGTGTGGAGACTGGGAGGAGGAGACACAGGATCCTGCAGGCTTGGCCCCAAACCAGCTTTGGGAAGGAGAACAGGGCCAGTGGGAACGTGAGCAAGTTAAAATGTGAAGACGTTCGGATTTAACCTGCAGCGATGTCCCCCAGTATGTGATGTGCTCCCATGGCTCCAGGTGGTCAGGAGGGGACTGAGCACCCTCACAGGGATGCCTCGTGGCCAGGGCCTCACAGTGAGGGATGTCCCTCCCTCAACATGCCCTATGGAGGGATCTCATGTGCAGGGATGGAGCCATCGTGAGGACAAGCAGCATAACAGCAGCACGGGGGGGGACGGACTATGGACAGGATTACGGGGACACGGACAAGGGGACGTGGTCCATGGGAGGGTGAGGCTCAGCAGAAGATATAAAGATGCCAAGTAGAAAAGGAGTAAATCCAAGGCAAGGAGCAATCCCTGGGCCAGGATTCCCACCAAACACGAGGGGATGCCTACCTGACCGTGATGTCTCCATCGCTCCATGGAGACTGCGAACACCTCATCCCACCCAACAGCAGGAGAAGCAATGCTCTGCTTTGAGTGACTACTGCTGGATGCTATGAAGAAGATGGGCCAGAACCTGGAATTCATCGGTGCCACGGACAAGAAACCCACAGCTCTGGGTGCTATGGGAACAAGCTTGGGAATGAATCTCCTGCATCCTTCCCGTGGTCTGCAAGGCTGGGATGGACACGGCCGCCCTTCCCCAAACGAACGCAGCCAACCCTGTGCTGTGTCTGCCTGGCTGGGGGTGCCAGCAGAGCCATGGGGTGTGGTGGGGACCATGGGGATGCAGCAGGAGGGCACCCACCATGCATGTGTCCGTCTTTTCCTTGCTCCAGCGGGGTGGGGAGCGGGCCCTGCATGGAAAGGAAGGGACAGCTGGGCTCTTCTCATGCACAGAGTTCAAAGAAGCCTTCAGCCTGTTTGACCGGACGCCCGCCGGGGCCATGCAGATCTCCTATGCCCAGTGTGGGGATGTCCTACGGGCGCTTGGCCACAACCCCACCAATGCAGAGGTCCTGAAGGTGCTGGGCAAGCCCAAAGCAGAAGGTGAGAGCAAAGTGGGGCAGCGGGGACATGGTGGGACAAGTAATCCCTGTGCCTCCTGGCAGCAAGTGGAGGATTATGTCCCCTTTAGGAAGAACCCAGTGAGATGAAGGAAATGAGGCAGAGAGGCCTCGTTCCTTCACTACCCTTCCCTGTGCTACAGGTGACAGAAGGCGTAGTCTTAAGGGAGTAGACATAAGGGAGCGCTCCTCACCCAGGGATGGTGGCAATGGGTGCTCCGCAGACCACATCCTGAGCTGGTGTGAACCTGGCTGGTTCCAGTGCAGCTGCATGGCCTTGGTGGCACAGGATCTCCCTGCTGCTATCAGTGGTCTGTGTGCGGTCCCCAGGTGTTAGCACTTTACTCCTCATGGGGATCTTCCAATCTCAAGTACCAACAGTCCCACCACCTTGGGGTGCTTCTCTCCTGTACTCACACAAGACCAGGAAGGTTAAGTGCTCAGAGGCTGATTTCAGCCTATGGAGGTTTCATCTCTGACCCCATCTCCTCCTCCCCTTCCAGAAATGAACACGAAGCTGCTGGACTTCGAGGCCTTCCTGCCCATCCTGCAGCACTTCACCCGCACCAAGGAGCAGGGCACCTTCGAGGACTTTGTGGAAGGGCTGCGTGTCTTTGACAAGGAGGGCAATGGCATGGTGATGGGCGCCGAGCTGCGCCATGTGCTGGTCACACTGGGTACGGGCTGGCCCTGGGCTGGGCAGCAGGACACAGGCCACCCCTAATGGCTTGGGTTACTTGGGTGGCCTCATGCATCAAAGAGACCCTTTTGACTCTGCTGCTCGTAGGCTTTCATTAATGGCTCCTGAATATGTGGCCTTTTCCACCTCACCACTTCATGCATGATCCAGGTGAGATGGAGAGGCCATAGCATCCTCAGTTATCAGACAATCACTGCAGCAATCCTCTCTCCAGCAGCATGCCCCACCCTGGGGTGTCACACAGCTCCTTTTAAATCCCTTTTTCCTTCCTCTGGGGACTTTGGCTCTCTGGGAAAAGGACAGGAAGGTCCTGGGGGGCTGAGAGCCCTTCCCTCACCTCTCCATCATCCTCCAGGAGAGAAGATGACAGAAAGCGAGGTGGAGCAGCTGATGGCAGGGCAAGAAGATGCCAATGGCTGTATCAACTATGAAGGTAGGAGCAGCAGATTCCCGTCGAGACCATCTCAAACACAGTTCTCTTGGCTTAGGGCGCAAAATGGGCCCTCTGGGAGGACACTGGTGGTCACTGAGAGGGAGATAGGGACCGTCTTCCAAAGCTTCTCCAAGGAGAGCTGTGAGACGAGTCAGCTGGGCTGGGGACACGGTGGCCGGGGCAGTGACTTCCAGCTGAAGAAGGCACGTTCCCAAGGGTTTATCCCCAGTTTTCCACCGCTTTCTTGTGAGCTAACAAACAAAGCCAGCACCTTTCAGAGCAGAGGCAAGCTGGGGCCATTTGGGAATCTGGCTCCAAGAGGGTGAAAATGGTGGTTAAATCTGGGAACCCCTAAAATTGGGGAGCCTTGAGGAAAAGGGGGGACCAATTTCCCTTGGCCTATTTCCCTTGGCAAACTGAGGATGTTGGCTCTGGCTCGTCCCCAAGAGGCCTTTGGGAAGGTAGGAACAGAAGGTGAAATCTCAGCCCTGGCATCACTCATCCCCTTTGTCCCTGGGGTGCCCCAGGCTCTGCCTGCCCCACCACAGCTCACATCCTTTGACCTCCCATGCTCATTCCTCCTTTTCTCCCCAGCTTTCGTCAAGCACATCATGTCTGGCTGAAAGGAGAAACTTCAGGTGAGTTTGTGGTGTCTGAAACTGGAACAATCCCAGCTCTGAAAGCACCAGAACCTGTGTTCATGATAACAAACCTCACGGGTAACTTGTGTCGTCTACGGAGCACAGCATCAAGCCTGTCACTGTCCGTCGTGGCCTGGTTAATCGTGCTGGTAACAAAGAGGTTGCTGTGGTTTATGGGGCTACGTTTTCTAAGCCACCAGGAAGTGGGCACCAGCGGGAGGAAGCACTGAAACCCCTGCAGCAGTGAATGAGTTGATGCTAAGGAAAGGCGAAACACTTAAACAAGGGAATTTCTGAACATTCCCATTCCCGTTAGAAAGAAGATGGGAAATGTCCCAGTGATGCTTGTTAAGCTTTTTGTGGTCCTCAAAGTCTTGCCTGAGGAAAGCAAAGAAACAGGGTGAACAATCCCTCTGAAATCTACGCAGTTTAAAAGGAAATCCAAGTTATAAGAGCTAGTCCCAGCCTCCCCTCCAGATACTGCTAAATATACAAATGAAACACTTTAACCCCTCTGTTTTCCTCTCTACAAACCTCTTTAGCCATCAGAAGGTTAAAGTGGGGACAGAGAACTCTGAACTTTGAATGTTCAGCATCCTTTTCATCTGGGTTTGAATCCTTTTCTCCCCAGTTCCTGTTCACCAGCTCAGCAGCACAGGTGCTTGGGTGGCAAATGCTGCTTGAAAGCTTAACTCCATACGAGCCCATTGGCATGTAACTGGTGTAACTGGGATGTAACTGGTGTAACTGGGATTACGGCTATGGACATTCCCTCTCAGCTCAAAGATTCCCTGTGCTAAGCCCTCTCCCGCTCTTGTCCCCCAGCTCTCAGCAATGTTGGAACCCACCCGAGCACCACAAGCAGCGAGATCCCTCCATCCGTGTCCCTTCCACCCTGGATGTCACGCATCTGCAGATGTGCCACCACGGAGAGCTGGCCCCCACAAGCGTGTGCCTGAGCCTCGGTGGACAATGAGACCTCTGCAGCTTGGGTTTAACCCTTCAGTTATTCTGTTCAGTCTTTTTTTCTGTGACATTTGGCTCATTAAATTCCATCCTTCTTCCCTCACATGGTATCTCTGCTTTGCTTTTGCTGCTCATTGAAGTGGTAGATGGAAGAGACTTCTTGGTCTCCACCTGAGACGGCAGGATGCTCCCACAGAGAGGGGAAAAGGGCAGGTTTATGACCATTAGGTGTGAGGAAACAGTGAGGGTCTTTGCCTACCCCCATGTGGGAGCAGGAGCTGGGGTGCGATCTGGCCACATCTTGATGATGGAGCAAAGAGAGCAAGAGGGACAAGTTGCATCCAATTGTTCTTCTCCCCTCTTCTTGGGATGCTCTTCACCTCCCCTGTGCCCTAAACCCAGCCCTTTTCCAGCCCTTTAGCCCATCTACCCTACAACATGCTGCCCCAAGAGCATCCCCTCCAGGTCCACAGGAGCAGAGGTGGAGTAAAGGGGCACCTGCTTAGCCCTGCCACTGTCCCAGTCACAGGAGAGACCAACAGGGACCTCTCCTTCATCAACATAAGGCCTGTCCCAGCCAGAAAAGGCCAGAGGCCCCTTAGAAACCAAACCACCCCAAACCACCAGGGAAGACATGAAAAGCATTAATTTCTGTACACCATCAACAGGCCCCAAAGTCCAGTTTTGAAGGTTGATTTCCAGGAAGCTGAGTCCTGATGAACCAGTGAGGGGGGAGGAAAATGGGGAAGCAACAGGTCCCTGCGGTGTGGGCAGTGTCCTGCCTGGGATGGAGCCCAGCCAGGACAGGGCTCCAGGATGGTTCCTCTCCAAGCAGAGAGGCAGCAGCTGGCTGGAGCTCTGGGGGCTCTGTCTCTGTTCCTACCTGCAAAGAACCCATCGGAGCATCCTTCCAAGCGGTGAATAATTCACGGCAGGTAACTGAGACGCACACCTGGGAGCAGAAAACATCTTCCTTTGATTTGGTTCTTACCCCAGTGTCCTGGCTCCAGGACTTTGATCAGAAATTGAAGGTGTTTTGCTCTGATGGAGCTGACTTCAGCTGCCACTTGTGTGTTTCTGTGCAGTGATTGAGTAACAGCTGCTTTCTATTCCCACTGTGATTCAAACGCTCACCAAAAGCAACACAAGCTGTTTAGAGATGCCATCATCAGATTTTAGCTCCTGCCTGTGGTTATTTCTACAGCTTCGATTAGGGAGAATCTGAGTATCTCGCCTCTTTAATGTATTATTTCTGCTTCAACCTGGGAAAGGATCACCATGAAGGGTGAGAAAGGACAATGCTTTGTCTTTGAGCCTCCAGCTCCTGTGCAGACAGGAGTGTTCTTCACCCTGTAAATGAAAACCAAAGCGACAGAGTGAAAGAGAGCAGTGGCAAATGACAGCACTAGGGAAAATGGTGAGAGCTGTGAAATCCACCCTCCGAAGCACCCTTGGGGTAGCAGCCAGCCACGCTGGACTTTGGGGACCTGCTCTGTCTCTTTAGGCTAAAGCAGAGCTGCTTTGCACAGACGCAGGTTGGAATGGCGCACTTGAACAGGCACAGGATATACCTCCATACAGCTCTATACCCCCGTACTCCATGCCCTACCTCCTGCTCTGGAAAAGCCAAGGATCCCAAGGAGCAAGTGGTTTTAGCCCCACAGACGTGTGGACACCAGGGAGTGATTGGCCCCATGAGCAGCCCTGCACGGCAGGACTGGAGGAGTCTTATGTCCCAAGATAAGAGCCAGCACTCTGTCCTTTTATAGTTTGGATGCTTTGCTTGAAGTGCAGCAGGCTCTGAGGAGGGGTGAAAGGAATCCCCCACCCTAAGGAGAGCCCATGGCTCTATCTACTCAGGCTGCGATAAGACAGAGCCTCATACCAAAGATGGTCTGGGTGTCAGGAGGGTTAGCACAGCGCCCTGTGAAACGGAAGAGACAGATGGAGCCAGCTTTCATCCTGAGGAGATAGCAGCAGCGCACAGCAGGGCAGCAAGATCGGAATGAGGATGGTGAGCATGGTCTGTGCTCCTTCAAAGGCTCCCTGGGACCCCCAGACGCACGTAGACACACGTCCCCATCATCCCCATCAGCGTGCGAGCCTTCCTTTAGGGAGGGCAGGCATTTCACTGTAGCGTGGTGTTCGCACCCTTTGTGCTCAGTAGAATGAGTTGGGTCAACCTGATGGCAAACGAGATATCCACCCCAGCGGGAAAACACTGCTCCGTGACCCTGTTCATTACGTGTCTCAGGCTTTGGCTTTCCATGCCAGCCAGCTCGCACCCTGAAAGCAAACACCTGCAGACGTACTGGAGCAATAACCAACTTGTAAATACCCTATTCGGGAACACGGAGAAGGACGTGTAAAAAGATCACGGAAGCAGGCAAGGCAAGCCTCCTGCTCCACACCAAGTGTCCAACATAAGCACCCCTCACACAGCTTCTCCCCTTACAGGATGATGCAGCCCCCGGCTCCCACGTGCTCTCTGCAGGATGCAGCCCAGCGCACGGGTGGCAATGTGCGTTTAATAAACTGAACTTTAGCTGGGCCATCCTGATCCCATCCTTTCGGGAACGGACCCGAGCTCTGAGCCAGACGTGGCTCCCTCTGCCTCCTGCTGTGCCCATGGCCGGCAGCTCGGCTGTTTCCGTCCGCGCTCGGGCGGCTCCGGCAGCAGAAGCGCTTCCGCCTGGCGGACGGCGGGTTGGGGAGCTTCCCCAGCTGTTTTCCGTCCGCGTTCGGCTCTCTCCGCCTGAAGCTTCGGGTATTTCCGGCGGACGGTTCGGCTGTTTCCGCCGCTAGCTTCGGGCGGACTCGGCGCCTCGTTCCTTCCCTCCCCGCCGCCTGCCCCGGTAACGGTCGCTGGGAGTTTAAATGAGCAGGGGCCGGGCCGCGCCGCGCCGCTGCCGGGACACGCACTGAGGCGGGGCCGGGGCTGCCCCGCTCCGGGCTCGGCGAGGAGGCGGCGGAGGAGGCCGGCGAGAGCAGGATGACGGTGCTGCAGGAACCCGTCCAGGTACCGACCCCTGGGCGGCTCGGGCTCGCCGCCGCGCTCAGGCCCCAGGGCCCGGCCCGGCCTGGCGGGGGGAACCCGGCCTTGCCGCACCGGCCGCTCCGCGGGGGAGGCCTCCCCGCCGCCGGGCCCTCTTCTGGGGCGGGAGGCCCCGCTCCGCTCGGGCCGCTCCTGGGGCTGGGGGCCTGCGGGCCCCGGGGGCCCCCTCCGCCGGTGGGAGCGGGCCAGGGCCGCGGGGCGCTCTCCACCGCCAGCCCCGGCTCCTCCGCCCCGCTGGCCGGGCTGCGGGAGGGCTGCGGGGCTTCCTTGCTCCTCTGCGCGTCCCCTCCCCATCCCCTGCGCCTCTGGGACGAGCCGCCCTCGCCCTTTCTCCTCTGCCGGATCCCCAACGGGGGGACCCGGCCTCACCCCAGGAGCTGCCGGTGTCCTGCGGCCTCCTGCTAAAGGCCCTTTCGGCTCCCCCGGTGGATCCCCTGGGAGACCTGTTGATATCTCTCTCCATCTCGCTTACCTTTCTGCGTTTGCTGCCGTTTCGTTTCTAAATGCTCGCAGCACGCTCGGCTCCGGACGTGGGATGCAGATGAAGGACGTTCCTTTTTCCCAAGGAGTTAGTTCCTTCACATGGATGGGAGACCTGGAAGAGAAAATAACATAGATTTTGGTTTTCCTCCATATTTTAGTGTCACTGCAGTGACCCTGATGGGCTTCCTGCTCTTGTCCTCAGTCTTCCCATTTAAAAGGCATGATTCATTGAAATAAGAGTTGCTGTTTCTTTCTGCCTTGCCTGTGCACCCATTATTCTACCTATTCTGTAATCTCCATTAATCAGGCTTCTTTTTGTGTCCATGTTCTTGTGGTTTGGTTGGGTTTTAGCCTTTCAACAGGGTGGATTTGTTTCTAGTTATGGTGGGAACATGTTGCCGTAAGTGTCTTGGTAGTACATGACTCTGTTCTGTAATGAGCATCATGACAATGCATGCTTTCAGCTCTCCTCCCTCCTTTTAGTGAAAAGGTAGGAAGGGAAGAAAGACTTGTCCTCTGGAAGACCACCCTGCTGACCTGATCTTTTCCGTGCAAGATGGTGACGGTGCTCTTGTAGACCAGGGGTTTGTATCCTTGATGCCACTGTTCTGCTCATCCACTCGGAGAGCAAGGGTCAGTGCGGAGCTGGAAATTCCACCTGGTCCCTCTTTGCACTGGTCACACTTACGCCGTTGCTGTTACCCTTGGAGCTGGGATGGCCGTTTTGTACCAGTTGGGTATTCTAGGAAAACACGGGGTTACGATAGAGGAGGAAGCAAGAATGCATTGCAGAGTGAATGCCCGGAAACAACATTTAGTGTTTCCAGCACTGTGCTAATTAGACAAACCAAGTGGAAAATATTTGCCATTCTGGGAGTTCCGTGGTAGAAACATGCAGTCTTGTGCTCATTTTTCTGGTAGGTGAAGGCCTCTCTAATGTCATTCTCCATTCTTAAGCTCTCATCAGCTTGGCTGTTTCCATGAGGTTTTGCTATGTTGAATATACCTGTTTAGATTCTGCCTGCTTTCAAATACCAAACAGTTCCTTTATCAGTGGTTCTACTGCTCTTAGCTGTGCTGCTATTCCTTGCTTACAGAAACACTGGGAAGTTCAGGTTTTGTTCTTTTTTGTGGCCTTGGTCATATCCTTGCTTTTAACGGTAAAGGACCTGCCCGCCGGTGCACCATGCAGTACAAGGTCAGCGTTTGAGTCCTGCCTGGCTCTGCTGTGGTTCCTGTGGTCCATAGTGCCATGGCTACGAGCAGCATTGTAGATACTGGACAGCTTTACTGCAGCACCTTTCCCACCCAGCTCATGCTTGTTTTCTCACTGGTGTGTGACCATTCACTCCAGTGAGTGGTCTCTGTTTCACTGTGCACATCTGGGTGCAGTTGATTGCATTTCTGAATCCCCATTTTAGCTGGAATCCGCGGATTTAGCTCTGTTTTCCTGATTTTTTTTTAAAGTGCTCTGATTGGACAGTTTGACACTACTTCTCATTTTTGTCATTGCAGAGATTTTTTTCCTGTCTATTTGTCTGTTCTCTCTCAGCCTTTCGGATG